AACGCTCACAGACTTTTAACACAAATTGGGGAGGGGGCTGGGCGGAAATCAGAAAAAATACCGGTAGGAAAAAAAATACTAGAAATAAACACCACAACAATGGAAGTATTTCAACAGTCCAAAAATGGAAATCGGTAAATAATTTGAGAGGAGTTTCTCGCTCTCCACTTTCGTTAATTTTTTTAAAATTCCCATTCTTCTGAAGATGCAGGCTTACATAAAAAAAAAACATCGAATAGGCCTACACAGATTAAGCAGAAAATTTGGCAATAACTCAAAAATAATATGCAACTTACCAACGCATAAATGTTCCAAAAAGGTCGGATAAGATTCCGCTCCGCTTTCTAAATAATTAAATAATTACGATATTTACAATACAGTATGCAAATAGTTTCGTGCAGTGATTTTTCATTAGTGCACTGTTTGCTCGACCTTTTTGCTGTTCGTGTTCAAAAGTTCAAACTAAACTGCATGTATCGCTACTCACTAGTATATTATTGTGAAATATAAGGTTATTATTATCATTTTTTTTAAATTATATTTATTTAATCCATAAAAATATATATGTATATACAATACAAGAGTAAAACATTAAAATTGAAAGAAAAAGAAAGAAAAATAAAATCCATTGAAACAAAGGGTATACTGATTGCTGGTGTCTGGGGAGGCGGGCATACTAAAAGGAACGGAGTTCCTGTACAATAAATGTTTGGGATCCACAAGCACTCATCAGCAAAACGTATTGTGAAACAAGAAAGTTATATGAACGATTTCTTAACAAATGTCTTAAATAAATTAAAATTACCATTACGCACATGTAAAGGAAGGCAGTTCCAACAGTCAATAATTCTACGACAAAAAGAATGAGCAAGTTCGTTGCATTGGGGATTTCTATTACAAAGAGTAGGATATTCTTTTCTTACATTAAGGATTAACAGGCGCGGCGCAAGAAATTCCCCGACAAGGGGTTCAAGCTTCCCGACAAGGGGTCTACCCCGTTGAAGAAGCCTAGTTCCCCTCCCCCATCCCCGGTCGGGGATTTTTTTTTATTAAGAAATAAGACAATTTATGGTTATTGCACCTCTAGATGGCCGGAAATGATACTCACAGACGTACAGTCTTAATATAATTTTCGTTTTATCTCCATTTTGCAAAAATCAAACCAACAGATTTTGCAAATAATTTTTATTCATTCATTCATTCATTCATTCATTTTGTGCTTTTATTTTTTTTATTTTACTTTTTATTTTATAGGTATTGCAAACTGCAAGGATGAAATGAACTTTGCTAATAGCGTACGGTACTCTATTCATCACAAAAGACATGTAGGGCCTACAGTGGAACAGGTGTAAAAAGAAAACATACAAAAAAAAAAAACCTAGACCTACCTTTTCTGGACCCGTGAGCTGAAATTGTTTTTGTTACAATGGGAAAATTAAAAGTCGGAAAAGCTCATATCCCGCCATCTAGAAATTAAATTTTTTCGGAAGAACGCCCGACCCCCTTACTCCTTAGGATTCATCAATTCATGGAATTCTTTTCAAAAAGAAAAATCTTGAATTTTGAAGAACTTAAAAGTCATTAAAAGACACATGAGAAAGCTCATTTCCCGGCATCGAACCCCCTTTTTTTTAATTTTTTAGAAACATTTTGACCCCCCAGCCCCGAATAAATTTGAACCCAGACTCCTCCCCTGCACAGTCTTCTTTTAGTGATCATGAATAATTTTCACTTTTTATATAGACACTAATTGCGACGTTAATATACTACTGGTTAAGAAAACGAAGGAGCGCACCATAGAGTGTATTCCAATGAAGCTTGTGATAACTATATTCTTACAAGTTCTTAAATAGGCTACACGACGACATTCATCAGAGCCACATTTTTTCTATTGCTCATACAGCACCACATTTTAGCATTCAACGAACCCACACATCAATCAAATATTACACATTTACCTTTCCTAACTATTGAATCAAATAAATTGATTGAAAAAAAAATGTGTCATGAATATGATACTCCATACGAACATACACACCTGATGACTCTAGTAAAATAACGTCTACTTAAATAAACGTTTTAATGTTTTATACATGTAACAACAGAACCCACAACCACACCAGCTCTCTTCACCGACAAAACTCAATCGTTGCCCTTGTCTAGTAGATAATTACATCATTGATTCTTTCGTTACTATCATTTATATTTTTATATTTACCTTATGTAATCAAAAAGTCTATTTAATGTGTAATTGTTCTGCTGTCTTTATGTATCGTCCCTTCCCTTGCGTTTGTTAAATCTTTCGAAACTATTTAGCCACTTGCCATATGAAATTATGTTTTATTCAAATATAGTGTAGTAATGTTTTTGCATATTTGAATTTAAATGAAAGAAAGTGAATATAAATAAATGGATTAGCCGTTCATTAAGAATATTTTAATCAAAAGTCAAACTTACGAGATCTGCAGTCACACCTACATTGTGAGTAACCGTTACTTGTTGTGTACGCCCAAGAAATGCACGTTGAATCACAAGTCTTGTCTAAAAAAAGTCGAGTAACAATGACGTATTTAAAATGTGTCTGAACTGTAGAATCTGGAATATCAGAAGCGTACGTATATGTAGGCCTACATTTAAGGTTTGCTGGCAAGAAAAATAAGTAAATTGCATAATGATGGTAAGTGAAGATTAAAAAGATTGGATTTCTTCACGAATGTGAAATAGTTGTGTAGTTGTGAAGCAGGCTTCTTTTCCATAACCCGTTCCAACTGATTATAAATCGACGGAAAATTACCGATAGATTCGTACTATGTAAATTTCAATAGAGTTTATGGACAAGAGGCCATCGGCGGTGGATCAAAAAATACGAAAGACAGGAGGAAGGATTACAGTTACACAGCTGAGGCGGATGTAGAATTTGGCGGTAAGGAGTGCTTCAGAGTCCACACGGTTTAAGCCCCACCTGGGGCTGAGGCGAGAACCTTTTGAATGCCCTCAAGGTGTCCTGGAAATTGCACTCTCATACTTTAAATAATGATAAAAATAATATTTCAACAATACAATACAACTATTATATTGTATTAATTAAATTTAGAGGAGTGTGATCGCACCATCTGCAACTTCCCCGCCCCCGTGCATCCGCCCCAGACACAATGGAAGGTATGAATCACATCTGCCACACCTTAGTTGGTGCGGAGAGGCTTAAGATCGGTAGGCCTATTAACGCTCACAGACTTTTAAAACAAATTGGGGGAGGGGGCTGGGCGGAAGTCAGAAAAAATACCGGTAGGAAAAAAAAAATACTAGAAATAAACACCACAACAATGGAAGTACTTCAACAGTCCAAAATGGAAATTGGTAGATAATTTGTAAGGCGTTTTTCTCTTTCCACTTTTGTTAATTTTTGAATAATTCCCTTTCTTCTGAAGATGCAGGTTTAAATAAAAAAAAAAACATCGAAGGCCTTCACAGATTAAGCAGAAAATTTGACAATAACTCAAAAATAATATGCAACTTACCAACGCATAACTGTTCCAAAATGGTCGGATAAGATCCCGCTCCACTTTCTAAATAATTAAATAATTACGATATTTACAATACAGTATGGAAATAGTTTCGAGCAGTGATTTTTCATTAGTGCACTGTTTGCTCGACCTTTTTGCTGTTCGTGTTCAAAAGTTCAAACAAAATTGCATGTGTCGATGCTCGCTAGTAATATATTATTGTGAAACATAAGGCTATTAACAGGCGCGGCGCCAGAAATTCCCCGACAAGGGGTTTAAGCTCCCCGACAAGGGGTCTACCCCGTCGGAGAAGCCTAGTTCCCCTCCCCCATCCCCGGTCGGGGAATTTTTTTTATTAAAAAATAAGACAATTTATGATTATTGCACCTCTAGATGGCCGGAAATGATACTCACAGACGTACAGTCTTAATATAATTTTCGTTTTGTCTCCATTTTGCAAAAATCAAACCAACTGATTTTGCAAATAATTTTTATTCATTCATTTTGTGCTTTTATTTTTTTTTATTTTACTTTTTATTTTATAGGTATTGCAAACTGCAAGAATGAAATGAACTTTGCAAATAACGTACTCTATTCATCAAAAAAGACATGTACAGTGGAACAGGTGTAGAAAGAAAACATACAAAGAAAAAAATTCCTAGACCTACCTTTTCAGGACCCGTTAGCTTAAATTGTTTTTGTTACAATGTTAAAATTGAAAGTCGGAAAAGCTCATATCCCGCCATCTAGAAATTAAAATTTTTATCTACGCCTCTCGTGTGACTGGAGGTCACAATTATTTACTTTATATTTTATATTAATTATCGTATGTAATCAAAATGTCGTGTTAATGAGTAATTGTTTCTGCTGTCTTTCCTTTGATGTATCGTCCATTCCCTTGCGTGTGTTAATTCTTTTGAAATTATTTGGCCACTTTTCATGTGGAATTATGTTATATTCAAATAGTGTATTTAATGTTTTTGCATATTTGAATTGAAATGAAAGAAAGTAAACAAATAAATAAATAACCATTCATTAACAGTATTGTAATCAAAAGTTAAACTTACGAGTTCGACAGTCACACCAACAGTGAGGAGAATCATACTTCCTTAAAATGCACGTTGAATCACAAGCAAACCAGTCTAAAAAAAAAAGACAACTACGGTAACAATCAATAACATATTTAAAATGTGTCTGAATTGTAGACTCGAGAATATCAGAAGGGTATACGTAGGCCTACTTCCCACCATGGTTGTGGCGAAGGGGCTTAGTGGCCAGTAGGCCTAGTAGTACACACAGACTTAAATTTGTAAATAATTTGTAAGAAGTTTTCTCTCCACTTTTGTTTATTTTAAATGATTTCTTTTCTTCTCAAAATGCAGGCCTATAAAAAAAACATCGAACAAACACTTTGACTGAAAATTTGGCAATAATTAAAAAATAATAAAAGCAACTTACCGCCACATGTCTGTCCCGAAGATGTCGGATTAGAGGCCGCTCCGCTTTCTAAATAATCAAATAATGGCGGTATATAAAATGCAGATCAAAACAGTTTCGTGCAGTGATTTTCATTGCACTGTTTGCTCTACATTTATGCGGTTCGTGTGCGTGCAGAAGTTCAAACAAAACTGCATGTATCTCTGCTCGCTAGTAATATATAGTGAAACCTAAGATTATTACAAGGGAAAAATAATAGTAAGGGATTGTTGGTCCGTTTGTTTGTTTTTTTTTTTTTTAATGATTTGTCCGTTTGACTACACAGACCTAATAAAAAAACAATTGAAAACAAGATTGAGCAGAAGGTTCATTCATGATGTTTTTTACATAATGTTTTCTCGCTAAATAGTTTTGTTTGTTTGTTTGATTTTTTCTCAGACGCTACTGCCCACCATACGCGTTATTAACGAGTAGTGCCAAAGTGCGGGCCAGCGAGCCATGCGAGCCAATGTGCGAGTCATGCGAGCCAGCGAGCCATGCAAGCCATACATTTTAATTTTTTTTCAGGTTATCCAGTTTTGCAAACACGTAGGCCTAGCCTATATTCTTTGGCCTAGTAGATGCAAATGAATAACAAACCGGGGAGCTTTGCCTGTGTAGTCTAGTCATGCGCAGTACATATACTTTTGGACTTGGTTACCTTTTTGAATCGTCGATCCGAAAATATGCAGCGCTGATAGATGTACAGTATTTATTTATATATTTATATATATATATATATATTATTTGATATATACTGTATTTATTTATATATTTATTTATATATTTTTATATTTATTTGTACATTTATATATATATATATATTTATTTGTATATTCATTTATATATATATGTATATCTTTATTTATTATATATTTATTTATATATTTATTTTTATATACTTATTTGTATATATATATATACTGTATTATTATTTTATATATACTGTAATTATTTATATATTTATTTATATATTTATTTATATATGTGTTGTATATTTATTTGTATATTTATATATATATATATATTTATTTATATATGTATTTATATATATTTATATATTTATGTTTATATATTTATATAATTATTAAATTTTGTTATATACTGTTTGTATATTTATTTGTGTATTTATTTATATATATATATTTATATATAGTAATATGTTCATTTATTTATTTATATATATATATTTATTTGTATATTTATTTATATATTTATATATATTATAATATGTTCATATATTTTTTTAATATATTTTTTATATTTAAATAGATATATATATATATATATTTACATATATTTATATATTTATTAATAAATAAATAAATATATAAACAAATAAATATATAAATACATAAATATATATATAAATATATATAAAAATAAATATATAAATAAATATATAAATGAATATATGAATAATTACAGTATATATATAATATAATAATACAGTATACATAAATAAATATATAAACATATAAATATATATAAAAATAAATATATACAAATAAATATATTAATATTTATATATATATAAATATATATATATACGTATAAATATATATATACAAATGAATATATATATATAAATATATAAATAAATATATGAACACACTAATATATAAAAATAAATATACAAATAAATATACAAACAATATATAAAAAAAATTAAATAATTCATATACAAATAAATATATAAATAAATATACAAAAAATATACAAAAAATATATAAATAAATATATAAATAAATATATAAATAATTACAGTATATAATATAAAACAATAATACAGTATATATATATATATAAATACATAAATATATAAATATGTATACACAAATAATTATATCAAAATAAATATATAAATATATATATAAATAAATATATAATAAATATATACATTATATAAATAAATATATAAATAAATACAGTATATATAAT